TGCTGATGCTGGTGCCCTCCAAAAAAAGCGCACAAACGTGTACATAAGCGCGTGTAGGTGAGTGGATTCATATATATATGTGTGCATATCCAGATATGGGTACATGTGAAAGGGCACATTACGATCGGTGTATACCACCACGGGGCGAAAAAAATAAGAAGTCTCACAGTTGTTCCTTCTGCAGAATGTGCCGCTTGCACGTACGTGCAGGCCGTATGTCTGAGCATATGACTTAAGCGTATGTACATGCAGGCGTTATCGTGTGTCGTACGTCTAGGTGTACTTGGGGAATGCACCCGAACGGCATCTATCTGCCTGTGAGTATAGAAAACGAATAATCTAAATCATGAAAACAAAAAAAGTTTTATCTTTGCGTGTGGGGGGATCTATAACGCAGGGTTGGGCGACAGTTGGATGAGGAAATTGTCCAGCACTAAAGGTAAGCTTTGCGTGCACGTATGAACTGCGCATACAGATGAACTGAGCACATAGATGAACTGGGTATACGGATGTACCCCACATGTAAGGTGTTCTATACTGTTCAGAGGAGGGGCGCCTAAAGGGGTCGGCTACAGCAACCGACAGAGCTCATCAAACTGCATTTTCCGATGGGGGAAAACGAACATGGATGTGTTCTAACCCACCCCAGGAACAAAATTTCCTTCACGTCGTTGTTTCCACACATAACGTTATGGCTTATATTTTCCGGTAACTGGGTTAAACTAATTGTCCTCTCTTAGGGTGGAGGCAGGTAAAATGTATGTCAATATATATGTTGCCACTTGGTACAATCATGACTTCATCTGGGACCAAAATAGTGAGCTGCGCTTTGTTAACAGTTCCACACAAATGTATTACGTACTGTTGTACATGGCGATGTATATGGTGGGCGTTTTTTTTTCCTTCCAAAATGTTTATCGTGCTACGTAATGCATGCAGGCAGAAATGTACATATTTACTATGGATGTCATCTACAGGTAGGCACATACGCTTAAACAGCGTTTGCAATGTCGTGGACGCAAAGAAGGGGGAAGTGTATAGATGGGGGGATGTTTGAGCGCAGGCTTCCTTCTTTTCTACTTAGCAGTGGGGACTGAACGGTACAGAAAATTTTGCATCTGCTACATCTTCCCTTTTTGCCGCATTTGTCGGGCTTGTTAGGGTGAACTTTATCGCCTTCGCTTTTTTTTGCCGTTGGATACGCATTGTGCCAAAACTTCACCGTCGCGTGTTTTTCCCTTCCAGTTTGATTCGTCAGCTTACGCCCGACGGGGAAAAGAAAATCACGTGCGTGATATGTGCGCATAGCAATTCGTCGTAGCTTCTGCATTTATGAGTACGCGTAAGCATTTTTGCAAGTGCAGAGGGGTACGGTGTTTGCCCATTTGTTTGTCACTCTGCTTCTGAGCACCGGTAGGTGATTTACCCTCTACGAATTTTTTTCTGGAAAAAAAGTACATGCGCCCGAGGTATGCAAGATGTATGCGTGATGACTCGGTGTAGTATGGGTAATGGGTGCGTAACGAATGCGTAGCGAATGCCTAACACATGCGGAGTTATGTACGGGGGGCGTGCCAGATCGCTTTTTGCACAAAATGAGGGGCCATCTTTTTTGGCGCACTAAGCGCGTGCTTCGCATCAACTTAGCAAATGAACAATTCCTTTTTTTCTAAAAGAGAATAATTCGTACATTCGTACAGGTCCATTTCTGCCCATTTTTAGATGATACAAAACGGAACCGTGCAACCAATTCAAATGATAAATTGAGTATTCCGTTGGTCGACCTTTCTAAAATGGTGTCATTGTCGTATATTTTATCGCGTATACGACATATGGGCAGCAGAAAATTACCCACGTGCGATGCTACGCAGCAGGGAACTGCAACTTCCGATGGCATAAAAAATATTGTCAACGCGAGTGGACCTTCTTTAATGGTGCCTTTTGAGTAAGGAGTAACGGAGCAGTCCATGATATGGGGCATATAAGTCCACGCACAAACGCGAATTGTAAAATGTGAAAAGGGGCGAGGAGGGGGGTGCACAGTTTGCATTTTTCCTTTTCTCATGAGGAGGAGTGAAAATAAAAAAAAAATAACTCAGTGTTGATGAGGGTACATATACAGAAGTGTGGCGTGTGGACGGGTAACACTAGCGTAAAACAGCTGACATAAAAATAGACGGACTGTCGGCCGCCAAACTCCGCGGGCGGACTGCACCCCTGTCCATGTCACATAAAATACGGGAGCACCTTGAACAGCCTGAAACGCCCCGCGTCAACTTCTTCATCGCGCAATCGGTGTATATTTTGTTCGATATATTTCCCCTTATTAACAGCCAAGTAGTTTGACAAAAGGGAAAAGAAAAAAAGGCGATTAACATTCTGAAATAAGCAACTAGGGAAGATCCCCAAACGCAAATTATAGTAATTAATAACTATGAAGGCCAAGTAATTTAAGCTTAAAAAATAATAAGAGAGCCATATGGCATAGTCAGCCATACCCATGGAAATAACGGAGGCTACTAAAAAGAGGAAGCTATACATGTAGTGAAGATTGTTGGCAAAATAGTAACTACCTACTTGTAAACCCAAATAGTAAGCGGAGAAAAAAGAAAAAAGCAGAGAATGGAATTTTATGTGATACTTCAAAATTATATTATATTCCAGATAATTTGAGGAGGCTACTAGGAAGAAGGTTAAAAGAACAGAAAAGCTAGCCACCACAGCGAAAAATATTTTAGAGGTCTTGGTAAATACTAAGCAGCTCTCTCCAAAATGGTTATTTATATGATTTATATGAAATTTGTTTAAATGGTAAAAGAAATCACTCGAAATGGTTTTCATTTTTTTTTCTCTATTCATCAATTTAAGGACAATGTGATTGTAAAATAACTTGTCGTTGAGGAAAAAGGGGGCACTCCTTTTCGTAGCTTCTTCCGCTATCCCCATTTTGCTGCTAACTTGGGGTTCTCCATCTTCACGTAAGACCTTGTGCTTAAATTTTTTCTCATTCGGGATGTCATGTCTGATGAGGTTTTTACTAATTACAGTTGCATGGAGGTCATTGCTCCTTATCAGTTGGTCGACTTTCCTGTTGATGCAGCGACCTTCCCCCGCATATTGCTGGTAGGTTCTCGGAGCGGGGAGGTTGACATACGGCGGCGAGAGCCTGGCGCCCCCGGCTGTTAGCAATTTAAGTTTTGGCAATTTCATTTGGGCAGCTTCGTATGGGCAGATACATGAGCGCGTTTTCATGCCCACATTTATACGCCCATCCTTTGGGGGAAAATTAACGCATCCCCGTTCGACGTTCCTCAAGGTTGAGGTGGTACCCCACGAGGTGCTGCTTCGATTGATGGGTGAACGAGGGGGACACATCCCAAATGTACACACATATATGCACACGACATGGACGCATAAATATAGGGGCGTCTAATACATGTGTGTGGAGACCCGCCTACATATTTGCGCCTTTATTTTGCTCACGAAAATATGCCCCACTTATGTCGACTATTTTTCCCGTGTATACAAAACAAAACCTACTGTGCGCTCTGACTATGCACATGTCGCAGAGATGACGAAGCGGTGTAGTTCTCTTGATCCACAGAAACAATTCCCCCTTACTGCCTTCATTTTGTGGCAGCGAATGGGTGAACACTGATCGGAGGTTCTCTCATGCATTCGCTTCTCCACGGGCGTGGCCCCCACTTTTCGATTTGCAGGTGGACATATCAGAGAGCGTGCACGTACACATGTATAACATACATATGTATATTTTTTTCGTCCTTTAAAGCACGCCCCTTCTACAACCACTTCCATCCAGAAGTGCGCTCATCGCAAATGTAAACAACGCAGCTGCCCAATTTTCTCCATGCGACATTTCTCCATACGTGCAGGTGCGTACACATTTTGGCTGCTCACAAATGGGCCACAAAATTCGTTCAGCCCATTTTGCCTTTTTATCAGCAGTCACGTAAAAATGCGATTTTGCCCTGCCACCCCAGAGAAAAAAGAGAAAAAAAAAAAAGGGAAACTATGCACAATGTTTCATACCATTTTGTTTCTTTTTCTTTCTACATATTTTCATAAAATTTCCTTTTTTTTTTTTTTTCGCCTCTTCACGCCTGCGCCCAGAATTGATAGAAGCGGATGTTATTATGTTCCGTTTCGCGAGATGCCACTGCGTGGGCGTATACGCGTAAAAGCAATGTACGAAGCAAAACATACATATAGGATGTACATAGAACACGTAAATAAATATATATAAATGCACGTAGATATATGTTTGCGTTTATGTCAATTTGTTGGTAATTTTTTTCCCCCTGAAACGTGGCCTTTTTCACAAGACTCAGTTCACCGCGCATAAAAACGCCTGTTTTAAACGTATCTGGCCCCTGCCAATTGTACGCTGCACATACGCAGGGCAAAGTTGGCCACTACAGTGGTATACATAAGTATATACATACGTAAGTATATACATACATAAATGCGTATATGAATAAGTACGTATATACATATACGTATACACGCGGAGGGAAACCGTTTGGTACGACCGATCAGCCATGATCAGGTGAATTTGCCCCACTGCACTTTTGCACGAAAGGGTGTAACTATGACCCTGCGTGTAATTGAGTTAGGCGTTAAGCGAAGCAGAAAGTTGTTCGGGCTGCATCCCCCCACCCGCCATAGCATTATTCCAACAGGCAATTACGTTGTCATTAGTTTTGAGGGAAAACATGCACAGCGGTTATCTCACCCGTAGATATGTACGTAAACATAAACAGAACGTTTTGTTTTACTCTTGACCGTACCTGCAGAGCGTGTAATTTGTATATTGTGCCATCGTTACAGGAGCTGTCTTTGGTTTGCTTTGCTTTTCTTTGCTTTTCTTTGCTTTCCTCTCCTTTTCTGTCCCTTCCTTTTCTTTTCCGTCCCTTCCTTTTCTTTTCCTTTCATTTTTTCCTCCCCGCCCATATTTGCACAAAATTGTAAATGATAACAGGATGACTATTGTTACGATATTGTCCATTTTGTTGATTTTAAATTTATTTGAAGTAACTTCGGTGGGGGGTAGTTACACGGAGAAAATCCAAAATGAGGAGCCATGTCGGTACATGATCGTGTTCACAAAGCCCCTGTGTTATAGGTGCTACGTATTTAAGCCGCGGAACGGAAGCCGCATCAGGTGCTGCCAATCCTACCTGCAAAAACGGAAGGAGGGAGAACTGGAAAAGCTATATTCCCTACAAGATATTATGAGGAACACCATGAACGACGTAGACATAGATAACATTAAAAATTTATTTCCAGTGTTCAACGAAAAATTGTTAAAAATAAATAATAGTTATAAATCAGGAGGTCCCAACAAGGGTAACAAAATTTTTACCGACATTGATGACTTAGAAATTGAGTTTAACAATAAGCACTTTAACTTGAAGGACATAAAGGTTAACATTTTAGGTGGAAGCAGCAGTAACAAAGAAAAAGAAAAAAAAAAAGATGAGAATTATTACAATATCATAAAAGAGGAAAGTAATTTTATGAAGAAAAAGGATGAGCTATTACAGAACAGTCCCTTTTACAGTGAGAAATGCTTCAAATCTTTACATGGGAATAATTGTGGAAGTAGAAAAAACAGAAAACATAGAGAAGAAAATGCTGATGTGGATGAAGAATTGGATTACGATTTGGCTGAGTCCATTGGTGAAGCGGAATACTATGCAAGAATGAATCAGCTGAATGACCAACACCAGGGGGGCCATGGAGGAGATTCCACTACAGGGGGTAATAAACATGCTCAGAGAAAGAGTGACCATGATTATTATCATAGTAAGTACGGACCAAATGACTCCAGTGAGAATAACAACTCTGCAAGCTCCTCTCTTTTTTACTTGTCCAAAAAATTTTACCTATTGAATAGGTTGTCTCAGAACCCCAGAAAAATTGTACAGAAATATATCGAGTTTAAAGAACACCTATCGGGATCGGAGGAAAAATTGGATGACTTCCTCGACAATGAGTACTACAGTACGACGAAAACGATAAACGCCGTTTTGGCCGACGATATTCAGAAGACCGTTCAGTATGATGAGAAGGGGGACCAGAGCAACAAAAACAGCAACAAGGGATTCTTCTCCTCCCTGTTCCGCGATTTCATTTCGCTCTTTTACTTCCCGCGGAAGAATGTCGAGTTGTAACGGCGGAGTTGTAGCGGTGGAGTTGTAGCAGCGAAGTTGGTGTAACCGCGTTCCCGCGATCGATGCGTTGTCGTAGTGGTGGTTGCGGCACACAACAGGGCGCCCCGTTTTTGCTTTCCCCCCCAGGGCACTCACTTTATGCCTTGTTCCGTAAATCTACCTGCTATTTCTATGCGAAATAGATTTTTTTTTTTTTTTTTTTTTTTTTTGAATACTTTCCTAGGTTATTTTCCTTCCCCATTTGTAATTTTTTTAACTCATCTTTGTGCATTTAACTGTGCAGAGTTTGTGGCAACGGATTTTCTTTTTTTTTTTAAATATTCACTTGGCGTACCACATGACGCCGCCAGTTTGGCGTCTTATTTGACTTACGATTGGCACACGTGTGGCGGTCAGCTGTCGCGCAGTTGTCACGAACCTGCCGTCCCATTTTGCTTGTAATTAAAAAGCGTACCTGTTCAACCTAATTAAAAAAAACTGCCCCAATTTTGAACCTAGTGATGAATGTATGTCACTGCGTTGTTAGGAGTGACCTGTTTTTACCAGCACCTCGGTGATTGCGGAGATGTGGGGGAAGGTCCAGGGGGGGCAAAAGAAAAAATAATAAAAACGCACATAGAGCAACACAGAAGGAAGAGTTAGATCATGTTAGGTAATCACGCCATCCCTCTCGAAATGGACACGTCAAAAGTATGCCCGTTTGTAGGGCCTTCTTTTTCCGATACTAAAAGTACAAATGTGAATACAATTTTGGAGTGGCTCGACATTTAAGTGTTGGGAAAAGGTAAAAAATCGTTTTGGCGCCAGGCGGCACGCACAACTTTGGCACAGGAAGGCAAGTAAAAAGGGGAGGGTTTAAAAAATGATTTTCATGAATGAGCGAAGGGGCAGCCGAGGTGGCAGTCTGCTGTGCGTGGCTGTGGAGAATAACGAATTAGGACTATTCGGACCCATCAGCGCGAGCTTCATTCCATAACATGCGCAGCAATTCAGAAAAAAAAGTTATCACGTCCGCAAGAATGCAAGATGTATAACGCTGCACTTATGTATGTACGTATTTATGTGTTTTTTTTTCATTTTTTTTTTAATTTTTTTTTTCCACCCTGCTACTAGCCACTCGCTGACGAACGGATTAATACTCATTTGTGCCCAGCGCGAGGCTCCTATCCTGGGGTGTAAAAACAAGGCGCAATGGAATCACACCCCCAAAAAAGGGATAACATTGTTGCATTGCAAGCTGAATGGAACAGGGGAGCAACATCGCAACACTCTCCAATTTGGAAAAAAAAAAAATGAGATGATTCGTTCAAAGTGAATAAATTGTCACCACGCAGGAGGGAAGAAAAAAATGGGAGGAGAAGAAATTGCCCATTCGAGCGTTTGCCATTTCACCCCCAGCTCTGTCGATGCGTATGCATACACATAATAAGGACAAGTTGCCGAAAAAATGAAAAAATGAAATTGTTCTCCTTTTTAAAACGAAGTCACAAACATTTGAGAATACACAGGAACGTCGACAGTGACTCGTACATATGCAGGAGCAACGTCCGATTTTTTCACACTGTAAATTATGCGCACTTGGCGTGTTTGGCCAGCAAAAAAAGAAGCAATTCGGACGAAGCGAGTTCGTTGCATGCTCTGCTCAGCACTTTGACGAACCGAGGGCACAACAGAAATAGCCATTACAGTGAAGTTAGCAGTCACAAGGGGCACGGCAGCCATATCGGAGCAAATCAATGTGAATACAAAAACGTCCTAACCAGGTGGAAAGAGCTAGTCAAGATATACATAAGCTGGTTCCCAGAAATTACCGAGGACAAATATAAGTCGAAATGTTTTTCCCTACCCACTTATTTGGTCATCCATGTGGTGATCCCCGGTAGCGAAGCAACTCAGACAAATACATTGCAACAGTTTGAGGAATTCAATTTTGACACTCTCCTAAAAAGTATTTATCGAAAGGGGGCACACATACCTGATGGGGACCTCCACAAGTATCTTTCCGAAGGGGAAGATCACTCTGTTTACAATGCAAAAGGGGGGAGATCATCAAATGGAGGTGAAACCTTTCATGGGGAAGAAATTCACCGTTTAGGAGAAGACGACAAGGGAGAAGATCCAAATAGTGGCAAAAATAAGTCCATCAAAAAAAAAAAAAAAAATGACAATTCGGGTAGTTACGACGTACACTACATTATCGGAAGAGATATCGGCGATGCGTACAACAAAGTAGAAAGCGTTGTAAGTGAGGCGGGTGGTGCTGAACTGGGGATACTACAATTGCAGGATCGAACCGATGAAAGTCATAAACCGGAGGCAGGCAACGAGAGAAACTATTTCTTTTCCCTTAACATTCTTGAACTTAAAAGTAACGAGACGGACAGAGAGTTTCTAAATCGATGTATTAGAGGAAATTTTACAGAGACAGTTGACCCCGTGGCGAAGTCTCAGCCCAGTGGTGACAAACACCACTCCCATCCCTTCCTTTTCATCGTGTACGACTATAAAACCCTAATTCACGTATTTAATAACATCAAATTGGAAGTGCCAAACATCGGCAGCGTCTTCGATGTGTATATTCTGAGTTCCCTATTGCAGCTCGTCCAGAGGGGTGAGAAGCTTCAAAATGTGTTTAGTGCATATGCAGCTCAGTCTGGGAGAGGTATGTCGTCGATGCTGATAAGTACGTCCGTTTTGGAGCTGCCCACTGTGGAGCTCAGGAGGAAATGCCACTTTTCCATTATGCCACCCGAGTTTTCGGACGTCATTTCTGGGAAATATGGTATTTTCGGGTGGGGCAAATACCAGAAGATGAAAATAAAGTACGAAAGGGAAAAGAAGGGAATCCGCGCTGTAGGGGAGAAGCCGAAAAATAACCGTGGCATTTCGGAGAGTCCCTCTCATGATGGTGCCACTTCCACCCTCCCCACTGCATCACAACAAACCAGCAGGGTGAGACAGAACCACTTCAGCTTTACCCGCCTAGAGGTAAGGGACCAAAGAAGCATTAAAAAATTGGCGTTCGGAAATAAAAGAAGCCTGTACGAAATCACGGAGGAAGATATGATCAGCTACTGTATATCGAGAAACTGCTGCATGATGGCTCTCTTCGATTTTTTGATGGGCATATTTGCAAAGAATTTAAACTTGTTAAATATTTACGTCAAAATTGAGCAACCACTCATCCTATGTATTAGCGAAATTGAAAGGAGAGGCATTTTCCTAAACCAAAAAAAAATTGAGGAAATTCACCGAAGTTGCAGTAACCCCTTAGTGTATAAGGAAGAAATAGAACACCTCTGCGAGTGTAACATCAATTTGAATTCGTCCAAGCAGGTGGCGTCTCTCATATATAAACACTTGCTCGATATTGCCCTCAACCCTAACGTCGAGGTAGGCACAACGAGTGGAGACGCACTGTCTCATGGAGAAAGAGCAAATTATGATCATACTGTTGGAAGCGAGAGCAGTGCCAAATTGCTAACTCCCACGTGTGATGGATTTTACGAGGCGGAAGAGACATTTGAACGTAGGGAGGAGAACATAGGGGGGGACGCAAAGAGCCCACATTTGCCACCTTACAAAGGCGAAAACAAAGGAGATACGATGAGGATGGGAGCAAAGTTACAAAAGAGTAACTTACTGAGAAACATCATTACGAATGGTAAATACTCTGCTTCTCTGGCAAAGCCGTCTTTGGCCATCGGCACATCGGAAGAAACGAAGACATTCCCCCAACTTAACAACACCATTAACGAAATGAGGAGAAGCAAAAGTCTGCAAACGAACAACAAAACGCTCAAGCTGATTGTAGACGAAATTGAACGAAGTGAACATATAACCGAGAAGGAAAAGGAGAAAATAAAAAAAATTATCAGCAACGTGAAACTGTACAGAGAGTCTAAGAAGCTATTTCAGAATTATATAGAAAATTTGCCCAAGTTTATACAGAAGGAGACGAACAAGATTCACTGCAACTTCAATCAGATAGGGGCGTCCACCGGTCGGCTCTCCTGCGAGCAGCCTAACCTGCAGAACATTCACTCCAGGTTCCGCTGCGCGATATCACTCAAGGGGGGGGATACTGCAAGTGCCGGGCAAGGCAGCGACGAGCGGGGAGGCGACGAGGTAGGAAAGGACATGCTAAGCACAACGGAACAGCCGCCCCGGAAAAGGCTAACCTGTGACGTACCTCCCCACAGAGCCGCCCCCCACGAGGGGCTCCCCCCTGATGGCGAAAACCTCATCACCTTCGACTACAAGCAGATGGAGTTGTTCGTCATGGCGTACCTCAGCTTCGACATGCAGTTACTCAAGATGCTGCAGAGCGGCGATGTCTTCGTTGAGACCGCCAAGGTGCTATTTAACACAACCCAAGTGACGAGCGAGCTGAGGAGAATGACCAAAACGGTGATCTATGGGATTCTCTACGGACAGACTGAAAATGGACTGGCCAAAAGCCTCCTGATAAGCGAAGGAATGGCAAGTAATCTAATTTCGAATTTCTTTCAGGTTTTCCCAAACGTGTACAGATTTATGCAAATGCAGAAAATTCTGGTCAAGCATATGAATAGAGTATACACGTTAATCGGGCGCAAGAGGGTAATTGAGCCCACCATAAAAAACAAGTATCGGATCAGTATGAACACTCCGATTCAGGGCTGCGCGGCGGACGTCATGAAATTCGCCCTGTTGTCTTGCTTCCGCATCATGACGCATGGGGATGGGCATGGGCGCCATGACGTCAGCGATTTTAGCGGTGTGCATGGGCCAGATAGCAAGCACGACATGAACTCCAGTTGTGCTTGGCCCCAAAGCACACGCCTGTTAGAAATAAACAATGTGAGTGCAGCCCTCCTTGAGGAAAACAAGCCATTCCTAAAAGCAACCAAATTAATTTTGCAAGTGCACGATGAATTGTTATTTGAGAGCACCAGAAGAGCCACGGCCCCAATCATTCGACTCTTCAGCCCCATCCTAGAAAACGCCTTTTACAATTTAATTCAGTACACAAATACCTGCCATAGGTTGCTTCTCCTTTACGATTACATGCATGATCATATTTCTGTGCAGACATATATAGAGTATCTTCAGCTATCTAATAATGGCCAGACGTGGGATTCTCACTCCTCCTATGGGTCAAATGATAGCCGCCACTATAATTCGTCCAACAAATTAAATTCCATTTTTGAAAAGTTTAATTTTAAGTTACCGATTAAGGTAGAAACGGGAGACTACTACAAGGAGTTTTCTTAATATATGTGTGCCATTTGTGGGGGGATGGCGGCTGCCAAATTCCACATTGTTTTTCTCGCGATTGGGGCTTGTTTTTCCTCTTAGGGGACTTGCGGGAACTAGACCGTATGCACACAGAGCGTGCTTGCATATGTATCAACCTGTTCACAAGCGTAATCGCACAAATTGATTGACCTGTTTGTGTTTTTTTTAAGTGATTTTTTGTTGCCCACTTTTTTGTGGATGGGCGCCCATAAAACAAAAAGAACGACAAAAAAAAAAGGAAAAAGAAAAAAATTAATCAAACAAAAAAAAAAGAAATTAAAATTACATTATGATGAAGGGGTAAACACCAAAACACCAAGGGGGTTAGAGCACCAAATAGGCGGGATAAAAACACTGATGTGCGGGAATCTCCCACGGGGGGTGTTTCTCCCCCGCGCCGTAACAAAAGGGTATGCATTACGAGCGCACGAACATGACGAATTAATTTAATTGCATTGCGGTTGTATATACACACGTGCGTCTCGATTCGCCAAGAGTAGACACTCTCCCTCCCCCCTCTGTTATTAGCAAAGCTCGTTAAATAATTCATTATCGATTGAGTTTTCAAAATCCCTTTCGGGGGGATCCCGTCTTCCATGGGATGAAGAAGATGCATCTTTTTTGTTCGCGTCTTTTTTGCTCGCGTCTTTCCTGTCCGCACCTTTCCTCTTCACTCCTTTCCTCTCCGCTCCTTCCCCGTTTGCGCCTTTCCTGTTCGCCCCTTCCACTTCCTCCTTACACGACTGCTCCTTCTGCAGATCCACTCGAAGCTGTTTATTCACCTCCTTTAGCGATTTATTTTCTTCCATTAGCCTGTCAAAGTGGTCCCTCAAATCGCTTAAACTCTCGGCGAGTGTGTCGATTTTGCTGCTCAGAAAATTATTCTCCTCTTTCAACTTGCTCATTTTGTGTTTCATTAATTTGTTCCCATTTTCTAATTCCTCAATTTTTTTATTTTTTAATAAAAGTAGATTCCTCTCCCCCTCGCTGATGTACTGATCCATGTAGGAGAAATCCATGTAGTTTCTGCTCGTCAATTCTTTTAAGTAGTATTTGCAGTTGGTACAATCGATGCTCCTTGAGAAGAGGACTTCTTCATCCGCCTGTTCCATTTTGGCTAGTTCCGTATCCACGTCTTGTTCATTTATGTCTTTTTCATGCCGATCATTCGTATCACTGCGTTTGTTACTTTTTCCACCCATGTGGTAGTGTTCCCCCCCGCTGCTATTGCCACCACTTAGGCAGTCCATCAAGTCACCCATAATTGGCATCTCCTCTTTCGATGAAGTCAAACCAGGGGTCCCTTCGACAGGCAACAACACACCCAGAAGGGAGAATTCCGAACCGCTTCCTATTGCTACCTCTGAGTCCATATTATAGACCATTTTTTTTTTCTTTTTCTTTTTCCCCCAATTGTGAAGTTGCTTCTTAAATTCAACTGCATCTTCATCACTGTTGGCAGTTTCCTCACGGAGAGAGCTTTTCCGCTTTGCTCGTTTTGTTCCGCTTGATATTTCTACGCGTTCTTGGGACGGACACAAGGGCCTCTTCTCCGTCGTATTTTCTGTCATGTGGTTTGTCTCCTTCTGTTGCAACTTCGATCGGCCAGTGTTGCCGCTCGTGATGATCATGTCCAGCATCTCGAACGAGAAGGTGGCGTTCACCGAGCTCGCAGAGTTGGGTCCACTTTCAGGGCTAACATAATTGGGTCCACTTTGAGAGATATCATAACTGGGTCCACTTTCAGACTTCTCTGCGCTGTCGTTAGGTCCCTCCATTGGGATCTTATATCACCCTTCACATGAAAAAAGAAAAACAAGAATGTTTCTACGTCACTTCCTTCGTTACATATTCCCTTGTGTGATGTATTACTCATTTGGCATTTTAATATTGCATATGCAACGTTTCGGTGAAGGCGCCTTGTCATGCTACTCGCACGCGTAAAGAAGGCGCATGAGTTAAAGGAGCCACACGCTAATATATACGTGCACCTAGGGGCTAATCCGGATGGCACACATAGATGCAAAGACGAGAGGACAGGAAGAATGCAACCGGTTCCTTTGTTCCATTTCGATGTGTAACTGTGATGACAGGGGGGGTGTCATAATCTATTCCTTCCTCTTGATTTTTATTTCACCCAGATGGTGGGTCCCGATTAGTCCTTTAGCCGCAAGTGGGGATGACTAGGAAGACCTTAAATGGATTATTTCGATCCCATGTAGATAAATTAGCAAATAGTCCCATGCACCTAGTTGTAGTGGCAGCGCTAAGGTGTATGTATAAAGAAATTGGTGCATCCCTTTCCAGGAAAACGGTTCAGTTTTAACCCCTTGGAAGGACCATCTTTAAGGGAAGCCTTCCTCTTCTTCCTCTGCTTCTGCGATCTTCAACGTTATGACCCTGCGCGCGGCACTGGTGTGAAAGATTGAAAAGAGAAGTTTGCGCAGAGGAAAAAAGGTTTCCCTTTCGGTAAGAAGGGGGAGAACAGCGCGGTAGTACAGTAGCAGTAATAGTTGCAGTAGTAGTAGCAGAAGTAGTAGTGGCAACAGTAGTAGTAGCAGCAGTAGTAGTGGCAACAGTAGTAGTAGCAGCAGTAGTAGTGGCAACAGTAGTAGTAGCAGCAGCAGTAGAAGAAGTAGCAGTAGTAGTAGTGCCGACGCGACGAGGTACGAAGGTGCTGCCAAGAGCTGGAGCGGCCAAGTCATACCCGCGGGGGACGAACCTCGCTCGTGCTTGAAAAAAAATTAAAACGTTAACTTTTTTGAGATGCCCCTTTTTCAAGCTCCAAAATTTTTTAAAATTTTGTCGTTTAGCGTGTAAGGTGAAATTCGCCCGCAAGCGTTTTTTAAAGAGGAACGCATAATGCATAAATAGGGGAATCACAAATGAGGCAGGCTAAGGTAACAAGTAGTAGGGTGCAACAAGGGCAAATGTAATAGTATCACGTACGTGGCGCGCATGTAACGGGTATAGCAATTTTTCAATATGCACACAGCGGGGGTAACACACTTCACGAAATTTCCAGAGCGCACCAAAAAAAGAAAAAAAAAAAAAAAAAAGAGATGGAGAGGGAGGCATCTCCTTTTTTGGGCGTGGCAGCTTGCTTGTATGGTAAATGCACACTTGTATAACTAGTCCATTTTAATTCTCCTTAAAAACTTGAATAGCAAAAAATTAATCGTGCCATCCCCGGCATAGGAATGAAATAAATGATCCGAATAATTGACACAGATCTTATTTTCCTTTGAGGACTTCTGCAAGGAACATGCTGCAGGGGGCATACCCATAGCAGACTCCTTCTCGCAAATACAAAATGTGGATAAGTCGGCATTTTTACTTAACGCATAATCTATAGAGTAATTTAATCCCTCGAGCAATGGAATTATTTTTAAAAACACTCTGGTAAAAAAACTTCTTAAAAAAAACGGTTTGGCCTGCACATCTTGTTTATTTGAAATAATTTTAATTTCAAATAATTTATTAAAAATGTAATATTGAGAAGATATGTCCAGCATTAAATGATAAAAGGTGAAAATAAAAATGCCAAAAATAAATCCGAGCAACACATCGGAAGTGTAATGGATAAACCCGATAATTATAAACGCATAAATGAAACAACAGAAGAAAGTTATCAGCGTCTTCGCGACAACATTGTTGACGTAAAAAAGGGCGAATAGTAAAAATATGGTCGTGGAAAAGGAATGTCCAGATATAATCAAATCAGAACATACATACACTAAGTTCATATTTATTTTAATTATCTGCAATAAATTAAACGCAAAGTTGCCACTTTCTAGAGGCACACACGTTTCCAATGTGGCTGGAAGGGAAGTGACATAAATAAGTACTCCCCTCAGGATATAAAAAAAACCCATCATGTAGAGGAAGCGACACACAATGGCCATGGACAAGTACACACTATTACACAAAATTAATTGTAGGAAAGTAAGTGACAACAATGCTATTAAATTGTTGGACAATTTGTAAGATATCCATTCAGGTGGATTTTCGAACAAATTGTGAATTCGATCGCTCAACGGTGTGGTGTATCTTTTGTAATATGAATCGCTATATATCATGAAGAATCCTTGTATGATCAAGGAGATTACTAAAAATATGAACGCGATTGCTAGCCTCAGGAGTAACACCTTGAACAGCTTCCATTTTGTCAAGCTGTGGATGTCACCATCACTGGGATCTGCTTCGTTCGATGAGGAGAAGTTACTCATTTTTATGTCCACATTTATTTTATAGTTGTCGCTCGTTGTGTAGGTGCTGCTGTCTTCATTTTCTCTCCCGGACTGTTCATAATTTTTTTTTTTTAATTCTGTGGTCATTTTGGTATGTTAGGCGTTTTTCGCCAAGTTTTTTTTTTTCTGTTATTTAGCTGCGTTAGCGAGACAAAAATGCATAAGCGTGACAAAATCGAGTCAACATGGCGAAACCGCGCTCGCATCACAACATGTGTACACTCTTATGCAGCTAAACAGGACGCGCGCCATAGGCGGACACAAAAACAGGCAAACGGAAAAAAGGACGAAGCGAACGTAAAAGCTTATTTGCAAACGGTTGGACAAATCACCTACACGTGCATGTGCATGGTCTTTCGTACAACATAAACAACAAAAATTTTGTACAACGAGTGGAAAAGTTTTCAATGTTGAAGCAGTCAGTCTTGCAGGGCCTCAGAAATGCCTTTTCGATTTACGTACGAGGTGTTCATGTACAAATGTATGTTTTCCGGGCTGTAGGACACACCAGTACGTACAAGTACATTCAAGTACGATTAACTACGCATAAGTAAATATTCTCACTCGTGTGTACATGCACTCATCCGCTTCTTTCTCGTTTTGAAATTGTGCTCTTTTGTCTGCTACAAGTTCGCAACGCTAGCTCAGGGAACCAGGAAAAAAAAAAAAAAAAAAATTAATGCGTAACTACGCGCATAGTGCTTTTTCGTGCTTCGCTTCTCAAGGCTTCATTTATTCGTGTTTAATTTTTCCATTTAAGTTTTTAATTTTTTAAGTCTTTAATTTTTTAAATTTTAACAAAAAATGATGAGGGGAGTGAGGAAAAGACCCGCGAAAAAAAATGGCGTGATGGTGTAGAAATGCGCAGATCAATACTTCGTAATAAAGTAGGTGAAAAAAATTAGGTCAAAAGGGGAGAAGAAGAAAAAAAAATTAACAAGTCGATTACACTTGTATGCATATGAGCATATGTACACATGTGTATACGTACTTGCGCTCACATTCCCCGTCAAATACGCACGGCTCACACCGCATAAGGTAGGGTTTTAAAATAGAAATTAAAAGGAGCCAAATTTAAAAGAATTCATAAAAAGATCAAATCAATCATAGGAGGCGGCACATGCATGCAAATGCGTACCGCGGTGTGATGGGTCAAACACTAGAAACAAAATGAAAAAATGAAAAAACGAAAAAATGAAAAAATGGAAAAATGAAATTATAAAAACTATTAACTGTTAATTTAATAATGTATCAAACGCGCTGCTAGGTGGCGACTACGGGGTGCCGCTCTCCCTGGGGTGTACGTATGTACGGTGAAAAGGTATAATAAAAAACTTAATTACCCTTTATGCTTGTTTTGCAAATTAACAAACAAATTGGTGCGCGAAGAGGGCGGGGGTACACACACACAAACATGCGCATATGTATACGAGCATATGTACAGACTCACGAGTTAATTCTTTTTCCTGATTCCACACATGTACTTGATTTCTTTCACGATGTTCTTAAAGGTTGATAGATCAAAGGACCCACTGCCGGCATAGGAATGGTAAAAGTGGTCGCTAAAATCCCAATACGCTTCGTTCTTCACGGTTCTCTTTTTTGTTATGAGGCCTTGTGCATTCACTGGCTTGCATGGGCAGAAGCAGTTCTGTAAGGGTGGGGGGAAGCAACGTCCGCATAGGTGATAAGCTATACACACAAATTACAAATCTGTACACATGCACATAAACACTTGCACGATTGCGTAGCGCGTGCTGTTTCTCTAATTGTACTAACCCATTCCTTGTCATACGAAGCGGCCATGTTCAGCCTATGATCCAATCCTTCCATGAACCCTATTATCTGAATGAAGTAGGTGAACACTGTGCAGCGTTCAACAAAGGATGATGCATAATTCGAATTCTAAAAGGGGAAGGAAAAAAAAAAAAAAAAAAAAAGGGTGTGTGTGAGCATCCCCATAACGATGAGGAAAATGTATATGCACAATCTTGTCACTCCTCGTGTGGGACATGCTTAATGTGTACACAGACCAATTTTGTGTCTGTCGCTTGTTTGTACAGGCTAAAAGGCGGACTCATATTTTTTCTCATTCCGCGTAGCGCGTACTAAGAGGTTACACGTTACAAGTTGAGCGCCGATTCGCCTGTCCAATTTGGATGGAAAAACATTTTCATGCCGATCAAGACGTGGGTTAGACATGTGTGGATACAATTGTGACAAATCGATGCATAAAGCTCTCTTCAGTATCAAACCGCACATCGTATACGGCACACCGCTTTGCCTTACCTTGAGGGAGAAGGACCTGTGCTTGACGTACCGCTTGGCAGAAATCTCCAGTAGGCTGTGATAGAACAGAAAAACTATGGAGCCGAAAACATAGCCCATGAGCACGTCCACCGTGTAGTGAAATCTGGAAATCACAATCATTCCATAGATAAAAAGGCAGTAAAGGAAAAGCACGGCCTTTATGCAAATCTTCTTTTCATAAAACATCCAGAAAAATTTTAAAACGGTGGTAAAGGCAGTATGTCCAGAAATAATCAAATCAGTACATTCGTACACTTGCGCAGTTATTATAAGATAAGTAGTATATAAATTTTCAATGAAATTTTTATTTCTCACTGGCTGGCAGGTACGTATTGGACATGGAATTGTCGTGACGTAAATAAAAATTGACCTTAAGCAGTAAAAGGAGGAGAGCATTAACAGTAGTCTAATAAACATACTAATGGAAATCAGGAGGGGAGAAAATAGGCCAAATCTTAATAGAGTAATGATTAGAAAGAACATGATGCTTGAATTGACAAATGATCCTTTCATGAATAATGGTACTTCTTTGTACAGCTCGTGGATTCTATCCTTTAGCGGCTCGTCTCCTGTCGTGTAGTGGCTGTCACTTAGTATGATGAAGTAACAGTGGACGAGTACACAAAATATGGTCAACAACAGGGCGTATATCAATCGGATGTACAAAATTTTCAGCATTTTTTTTTTCGCTCTGGAACTCTTCACCCCCATCATGTTGATGTTGTTTTCCTCTTCGTCGAAGGAGTCGTCTGCCAGGAGTGGAAGGAGGGTGTGCGTGCAGGTATGCGTTGAGCTGCATGAGTAGTTATGTGCCGAGCTTTATGAGTAGTTACGCGCCGAGCTTTATGAACAGTTACGCGCTGAGCTGCATGAGAAGTTACGCTCCGAGCTGTAACTATGACGTGCCCATCGACACACAATTCGATATACACACACGCATAATCCGTGAAGTATCCTGAGCGCACCTCACATAATTACCTATATCCTCTAAGATGAAATCATCCCGCATCGTGGAATCGTTTGACCAGGATTCCTTCACGATCCTCTCCATTTTATCGGAAAAGGCGTTCGTCTCATTATTGTCTCGATCTCTGTCATCAGGAAATTTGGAGTTTAACTTGCCAACGCATTCTATGTTTAAGTTACATTTATAATCGATAGCAATTTGTATGTCCTCATTTTGCTCCAGATTTTTTTCTTCGTCCTTCTCCTTGCTTTGATGTCCCTTTACTGTTTTGTATTTAGAATTGGGGTTTCTACTACCATCTGACGGAGGGCGTGAGTTTAATTTTCCTTCTATCATTTTATTTATGTGTCCTCTCTTTAACTTCTTTTTATCATATTGTTAAGCGGGCGGGCGTTGACGGTTGAGAGTTCCAGGGCTTGGGAGAATAAATATCAACGCGTAGCGCGTTTGTGAGGAGTATGTGTTTGGTCCAGATGGTTAACAAACGGGTATAACACACAGGGAGGGGAGAAGCAGTAGAAGCGATGACGCGGTTGAAGCATCGAAAACGAAGAAGAGTAGCCCACTCGAGTTCATAAACGGGTGGAGGGAACAACTCGCGGGGCAGATAGCGAAAGGGAGGGGGAGGGCAAAATGGGCTTGCAACGAGGCTCTTAAAGGCGGCGAAGCACAAGAAGGTGGGAAAGGGAAAGAAGAGGGAAGAGGCAGAGGAACAGAAGCTAAAGGGTGCAGCCCCCAATTACGCCTTAATTGTAAGCATTTTTAAAGGCGCAAGGTCGCAAATCAAAATGTAAGCGGTAGGACGGCGCGCAGAATTGTATGAAAGCACGAATTTCATATTGATCGTTTGAAGGGGCACATAAAAAAAAAAAAAGAAACAAAAGAAGGGGAGGCCAAGTACAGCGAGGTGTGGCTAAATGGACTGACTCTAAAATGACGTGGGAGGCAAGAAGTGACTTCAAATGGAAACAGTCCGCATAACAGAATGCGCAAAAGATGGGAGGTATGCAAAATATGTGAAATGTGTGGAGTTCCCTCTTCCAGCTGCATGGGCGGAAATTAATTACATGTGCTTGGGGGGTTAATTGTTTCTTTCAGCATTTCTCTATCAGTTGATACCTGTAGCCCTGCGTGTGCAGCCGACCATGCTTAGTGGTGTTGTACATGTGTGCATATATATATTCATATGCAGTGGCAGCTCAACGTTTTTTCGGCTACATCTCTGAACACTTCTTCACTTTTTTCTTCGACCGTGACGCTGCAACTGTTTAACTTTTTGAAGTAAATGTAAGAGGAGGGAAGGAAACAAGGGCGAGGAAAAAAGGGAAAAGAAACAAAAAATAGGAACAAAAAGAAAAGCAACAAAAGGAAGAAAAACTGTGGGGCGGGGAAAAAAGGCAAGAACAAAGGAGAACGAAATGGAAGAAAAAAAACCGGAAAAAGGCAAAAAAGCGGGAAGAACAAAAAAAAAACGGAAAGAACAAAAGAAGACGGAAAGAACAAAAAAAAAACGGAAAGAACAAAAAAAAACGGAAAGAACATAAAAACGAGGGAAAAAAAAAGGCAAAAAAAAACTTCCTTTTTTTTTTTTTTTTATTTCTACTAACATCAAGTGTGAAGGAATGGACGAGTACAAACGGCAACAATTACGGAAACTTTTCTGTTGTTTTTGTGACATTTTTGGAAAATCATTTTACACCTCCCTGCTCGTTTTGTTCTATACGCATTGTTTTCTACTCCTTGTTTGCGCTTTTATTTTTCAGGTTTTTTTTTCGCTTCTTTTCAGCCAATTTTCCGTGCTTTTTTCTACATTTTCCTCTTATTTTTCCCTTATTTTGCGCAAAAACAAAAGTGGCGCAGGGTATAGAGACGGAGGGATTTCCATCAAAATAGTGAACGGGAATTTTTGGTGCGATTTGGTTGACAGGTGTGCGGCGAATTCTACCTTTGTGCCCAATTTTTTCGCCACTCGGACGTTTCTGTATTCGTTCATGTTCACGCCTGTTTTAGCACATATAGGTGTTCTCTCTTGACGGGTGAAGTTGCGGACTGCCGAAATTGCTGCGTCGCCATTTTCGAATTTTTCAAATTTTCCCAGTCCTTTAATTCTCTCCCGCCCGCGCTCAACCCGGCAATGCTGAAAACACACGGCAATTGACGCTGCACATTTTGTGTGACATACATAATCTAAGTGAGCCAAAAGTGGAATGAGTACCCCCCAAATGGAAGATGGCTTTTTCTGCCCTAAATAGCAAAAATGACTGCACACTAAGAGTTATCTACGTACAATTTTCGGATGATCATTTTTGTTAAAAAAAAAAAAAAACAACCACATTATGAGTCTGCAAAATGAGAAAAAATGGGGAATTATAAAATCGAAATCGAAAAAAAGAGGCATATATTTATGTTGCAACACTGAAGGCAAAAGTTCTGATTCCTTGTTGCAAATGAACTGATGAAAAAGTTGTTTTGTTTTGCTTCGTTTTGTTTTGCTCGTTTTGGATTGTCTTGCTTTGTTTTCCCCTTTGCAATCTAAGGAGCTAGCAACTTTGCAAACATGATAATTACACCCTGTTGGGCTCTTCTTCCCCAATTCCCCCCTTTAAAACACGTTTTCTCTTTTCAAAACGTCGAGATCTTCATTCGAGAAATAGTTAAGGTGCATGATGGCTTCGTAGTTTTCTTTGTTCTTTTCATTTGTGTCCTGAGAGGGGGGGAAAGGAAAAGGGGGTTGGAAAAAACATATTGGTGAGCAAAGATTGCCCAATAAGCGTATCCTCCGTGTCGACGCGTCTCAAGTGCAAACCCGCAACTATGAATTGGCAACTCGCAAATGGCATCTTTGCAAATTAAGAATGCCCTCAATTGCGACATTCCGTTTTCCCCGCTTTATCAGTTACTATCAAATCATCGACGTCCTTCCGTAGCTTTTCAAATTTGTAGAATTTCTCCCTCAGCGTTCTGTTCAATATTTCGTTCTGCTCTGGATCCAATGATTCCTTCCACTTGGAAAGCTGAACAAGGGAAGGGGACAGACATGACTGGCGGTCTCCACAGGTCTTGTGAGGATGCGCTGCGAGGGGAATGCTCAGGAGGCAGCACAAAGAAAATAACGTAGCACGATATTAATATGCCTTTTTTTGTTCTAATCGAAAAATGGAGAGTAACCTCGAGGTTGTTTATTTCAAGGGCTTCGCTCTTCAGTTTTATTTTCGTCTCCAAGAAGTAGTTCTTCCGATCGGGGGGTTGCAAAAGGAAGGGGACGCACACACACATGGATGCATATACATATATATATGTATACATATAAATATATATACATACATGCATACACATATTCAAAGACACACGTGCGAAGGTCCGCACGGAGCCGCTCTTCTCACCTCTAACAGCACCCTCTGCAGGTAGTCATACAGCTTCATCCTACTTCGCGCATACGCACCTTCGTATTCTTTGGAGATTTTTGCCAAGAGCATTTTTTTTATGTCTGCCTCAAGCTTCAATTCCGTTAGGATCTTTTGCTGTTTTTTTCTTTTTTCTTTTATTCTCTTTAGATCCGTTTTCAGCTTTTCATAGTCGACGATGTTTTTCTCAAGGATACCCACATCTTTGTCCAGCTGCTCTAATTTTTCTGGGGAAGGGGGATTTGGCAGTGCTGCTGAGGGAGGCGTCATGGTGATGCCCTCTATATGTCAGCACACAAGCGAAGCACCCCCCACTGCTCACAAGAAGGAAGCGTGCCACCTCGTAAACATAAAAAAAAAAAGTTCCTTCTGTCTGCATTACTTGTGTGAGTTGCTATATCCTTTTTTAATTCTTCCAAGTGATTTTTTTTCGAGAGGAAGATTTTCCTCTTATTCAACTTTTCATTCTGTTAATGGGTGAAGCAGCCAAGGAAAAGTGGGAGAACTCAGTCATTTGTCGTGGGGTCAATGCAGACGGTGATTCTTCCACAAAACGCATATCCCATGGCAGATAAAAATCAATTTGGAAACATAAGGGGTGGTGGTAACCGAGCGTACCTCCAACTTTTGAATAATCCCTATCTGGTCGTCCAGAATTAGTTTAAAGTAGCTTTGCATGTTAACGATTTTTTCATTGTACCCTGCGAGGATGTTTCTGGGTGGAAATTTTGAGTTATCATTCACAGGGGGGGAGCCTTGCCATTTGCATTGGTACGCTTCCCTTCCTTGTGCCTCCCTCCCGGCTCTACTAACTCATGCAGACGTACCCCCCTCACACACATTGCCCCTTTATATAGGAACAATAGCAGCCTCATTTTCAGTTAGCAACTTTTTTTTGGCATTACTTGATGGCCTCGTTCTTTTCGGACTGCAATTTGAAAATGACTTTTTGCCTCTTCTTGTCTAGTTTTTCCCTTTCCTGAGGGGGGCAGGCAAAAAATCATGACGCGAGGTTTCGAAGAAAGGGGTGGTCTGTTATGTTGGAAATTTCGATGCAGAAAAAACCTCGTCATGCTTCAGCACATTTGGCATGTCTACTAACTATATTAATCTTCCGGGAACAGTTTTCCTTGGCCTTTTTAAGGCTGCTAATAAACCTCCTGTTAATTTCCGCTATCATTTCGTTTTGCGAGAGGACAATAGAGTTTAGTTTATTCAAATGTTGGATGCTGGTCACAGTGGTTAGTTTCTGGTAGTCTTTGTTTTCCTCCTGCTTCTTTTCATCTTCCCTTTGAAGGGGATAGAACAAATTGGGGAGGAGGGCGAAAAAAAAGAGACACGTAACCATACGGATCTATTTGACCCTTATTTGTATCCGCGGAGATAGATCTACCACACGGGAAGAATGTGCTCGTCCCTCTCCTAGAAAAACAACGTCATTCCAGTATAATTCACTTGGCAGGACTTTCTCTTTTTTCGCTTGCCACAGCCGTTTCTTCACCTCCAGTCGCTTACTCCGAAATTTGGGTGTAGCCGTGCAGCTCGATTTCATTTTTGGCCAAATTCTCTAAAAAGGCTTCATAACATTTGAGCACAAATTTGTTTATGACGTTTTCGACTTTTCTGGAGGAGAGGATTTTGTGGGACTTGTTTTCTTCCAGCTCGATTTCTTTTTTTTTTTCCTCCAGTTTTAGGACCTGGCGGGAAGAGCGTCGATATGATGGATGAGTAAGATGAATAGGAGTCGAAAAAGCTATGTCTAAAGCGAGCCACAAAGTTGTGCTTCTCTATTTTTCCTTTTTCATCTGCCACGATATCGTAGTCTTTCTTCTCTCGCAGCCCCTCCAGCACAAACCCACGATGCAAACCTTTATGTCGTGGTAGCCCAAAAAAACCGTTGCATCTATATTCTTAATTTTTTCCTTAATCTCATCGGCAATTTTATTTTCTGCAGTCAGGTCTTCCTTTAACTTTTTCAACTGGGATGAGGAGGTGGAGAAAAGGGGTGTCACAAAATGTGCATAGTTATTTTAACGCCGTGTGTACCATTCGGCCTGCACTTATACATAATATGTTTTTTTTTTTTTTTGTACATTTGAATGTCAGTTTTTTTATCTTTACCTCCTTTAGGAGAACCTTCTTTTCCTCCTTCTTAGCGCTGTTTTTTTTTGTCCCTTTCTTCATTTTTTTTTTCTTTTTTTTTTCACCTTGAGGGTGTGCTTATAAAATGTGTTGACACTTCTTCCCTCATATGGGGGGGATAATGAAACTTTGTTACCGACCCCGTTCGTATTTTTACACGAGACATGACGGATTAGGACTGCACGAGGGGGTCTGAGAATACTTTTAGCGAAGCGCACTTCGTTAGAAGAAAGGCTATGCAAGGGTGGGAAAATATCCCTCAGTAGAATCTAAGAATGTATGCAGCGAGTTATATAAGGACTCCTTTTTTTTTTTTTTTTTTTTTTTGCGCAATATTGAACCAGGTTTGGCTAACCACTCGGGCGTCCTTCACTTGAGGGATTTACGTCTTATGCAATATGTGGAGTTGCATTTTGAGCGGATTTTTTTCTAAAGGGGAAAAAGCGTCATCCTGTTGGAGGTGAAGAGGTGCACCTGCTTCATGATTTTCCCCTGCACCGATTTACGTCACCTCTATCAATCGATGCCCGTCCTTGCCATTTTTTTTTTTTCCTCCGAGTATCAACAGAGATACGCGTCTTTTTTTGGGAAAAGTGACAGTCACAGAGATGAGTGACCACACCCATTTAAAAGACAATATTGTTTTTTTTCTTCTAAATTATACTGACGATATGTATCCCTTTTTAAAGTCCATTTTAAATTTATGAGCGGAGTGAACATCGGAGGGAGAGCTTTGTCATTTTATGAAATTGGACTAGGTGCAATTTAAAAAAAAAAAAAACTCTAACTTTCTAAAACGAGTATTGCGTGAGTGTACCCAACAGAGTGAAGGAACAAAAGAGTAACAATTACATGGCTCATTTATTTTTTCCCCTTTTTTAAGGTTCCACCTACTATTTTGGGGGGTTCTGCTTTGTCACATTAACCCCTCACGTAAGAATCTCCCCAGGGAAAGTGCACATTTCTCTTGCGCCTTTATGGTCCTATATCCTGCGCGTCCCATTTTGTTTACACTGCATCTGTACCGCGTAGGACAAGCCTCCCCTCGGCATGGAATCTGCCTCGCGCAATAGAACTTATGTGATTATCTATTTTGAGCAAAAAAGAAGAACCACACGTGGGAAGTGCAAAAAGTGGGCATCCCCTTAAAAGGAGAAAAACTCATGCATGCGAAGAATTGTCCCAAAATAGATCAACTTTACGCGTTAAGTTAAAAGGTGCCAATTTTGCACAAAGTTACGTGAAGAAAAAGTGGAAAGAAGTCCTTCTTTTCATGTACACAGAAATGGACTTTTATCACACCACATATTTGAGAGAGTGCCTTTTTTCTCGCTCAGATGAATTTTATTCCGAAGTCATATGCAGTAGGGATATCTTGATAGCATGTCCAGCTGGCAACTTGACACAAACCGGCAGATCGCCATACCGCCTGATCTCCAGACCGCCAGAACACTTAACATAAGAGGTGCACCCCTTCTCCATGCTGGTGATCAATTTGTGCAAAATAGCAAAAAAAGAAATCGTAAAAATTTGAGACAGTTTTAAACGGGGGAAGAGCAAAAATGATCTCCTAGTTGTGCTAAAAATGGCGGGACAAAAGAAACAAAAAAAAAGACACCTACGTGCAATATAGACATATAGGGTTATTCTGCATGGTGATAGAAAAAAAAGAAAAAATTATGTCATTTTGATGATGCTAAAAAAAGGTCAAAAGGATTTTTAGGC